TCCTATACCTTTTCCACAAACCAATAACTTGTTGTCCCCCCTAAAAAAGATAAAAGAGCAAGGGGCCTAGGAAATGGCTCGGTAGAATAAGCGCTTCCCTGGCAAGTGCAAGGGCCTGAGTTCAATCCCTGTTTCTGAAAAAAAAAAAAAGATAAAAGAGAAAGCACCTATCTTCTACAATGTCACCTCTCTTTACCCACACTTTGACATCCTATGCAGCTTTCTTTCATCACTGGTGCCAAGCATGGGGCTCCTGCTGAGGACACCACCACAGCCTCTTCAGTGGCTGTTGCCCATTTGCTGACAGTCTGAGTCTTCAGGCTCTAGAAAGGGAACCTGTACCCTCTTCTATGTCACACTTCTTTCCCCCCTCTGGCAAACTTCACTTTGCTTCTTTTAGGTGCCTGCCACTTGTTGATGCCTCCCAGTCATGTGAAGAAATTCTGGTCACTTTCAGAGCCACAGCAGTATAGGGGGTACCTGGTTCAATTTTTTGGATCCTATATCTTACCCCCAACCGAGGGTTTCTGCCCCACAAAGAAGATTCACCTCACAGCTCCCTTGTCTCCTCCTTCGTAATCGCTTCACATTCCTCATCCTTCCTGCTTGCCACTTATATCATACTTTATGTTCTGGCCAAAATGGAACTTTCAAGTTCTTCAAATATATCATATTTAAAATTGGGGTATAACTATGAATGTCCATTTTGTATCTGTGTATTCAAAGTGGTTGGGATAGATATATAGTTGCATTCTCTTAATGAATAGAATGATTTTTTCAAATGGTGTTTGTAAGTAGGATCACAAGTCTGCATCTTGTACAGCAATTAACCACTAAAAAGAATATATGCAGTGTATTATTTGTTGAAACTGTACTTTCGATTTGATTTGAAACTGTTTCATTGCTATATGTTTATCAATAAAACTTTGAAAAGAAAAAAAAAATAAAGTAATTGCACCAAAAAAAAAAATATATCATATTTCCTCAACAATGAATTATACACTGTTATTCACCCTCCTCTTCTTGGTTTTAATTATAATCTCTTCCACCAAAAGCTTTACATAAGAGTATAAGAAGTAACAAGTTCTTTAATCCAAAAATCAAATCTGAAATGCTCCAATACTTGAAACTTTCAAATCAATATGATGCCACAAGTGGAAATTCCACACCTGACCTCATGTGACCAGTTACAGTCAAGACAAAGGCATATTAAAAACACTGCATCAAATTACCTTCGGGTTATGCAGAAAGGTGTACGTGAAATAAAAGTCTCATGTTTAGACTTGGACCTCAGCCTCAAGATAGCTCATTATACATCTGCAAATATTCTGAAATCCAAAAAAATCTGAAAAATAATTATTTTTTAATCCAAAACATTTTTTTTTTTTTTTTTTTTTGGTGGAACCGGGGATTGAACTCATCCTTGCATTTGCCAGTCAAGTGCTTATCCTACTGAGCCATCTCCCCGGCCCCAATCCAAAACATTTTGGATAAGGACTATTTAACCCAAAATAACTATGTGGAATATTTTACATATGAAACCA